CTAATAATAGATCAATTAATAAAGGAACTGATTTATAAAAACAAAAAGCCTTCTCATTTTAGTTTTCAAATATGCCCATTGTTGCTCACCTACTCAGGCTGCAGAAAGGTTAGTTTCAAGTATTGGCTACTTGTACACTGCAATGAATATTTTGTGTATCTATGTATGCACATAACTATTGGTTTGTTTCGATGTATGGTTAAATAATGTTGTGCAACTTTCTGGAAATAAGTTGACATTCACTTACCCAAGTTATAATTCGGGTGGCACCAATAAGATCTATATTATGAGGGGGGAGGGGGGGCAAAGTCCCTAAGTAAGGAAGATTTTTTTGTTTTCATAAGGCGATGTTTGTGGATTTCCGGAATGGTTAATGGCCAAGACAAATAAATGTGCCAGACATCACAGGTCACATTACTATAAAGTATTGTGGTGAAAAGGGTAAAACGAGATATCGATTAGGATAACTGTACAGAAGGGGTTAAAGTAAAGGAAAAGGAAAGGAGTTGAAGAAAAGACCACGCAAAACAACTGCATGTTGAGGAAAAAAATGACTTTACGAGATGATAAACCAATTAATAAAGAAACTGATTTACAAAAACAAAAATCTTTTTAGTTTTCAAATACCCATGGCATGCCCACTATTGTCGCTCATCTACCAATCCACTCCAGTATAAATATGTGTGTGTATGATATATATATATATATATATATATATATATATATATATGTATATATATATATATATATGTATATATATATATATATATATATATATATATATATATATATATATATGTGTGTGTGTGTGTGTGTGTGTGTGTGTATATATATATATATATATATATATATATATATATATACATATATATATACATACATATAAGTGTATATACTCTTAACACTGGTTGCAGAAAGATTTATTTCACGCATTGATTACTTATGCACTGCAATGAATATTTTGTGTATGTACGATTACGGAAGTTCTTTCGTTTACGTAAGGGGTCTCAAACTCGCGGCCCGCGGGCCAAATGCGGCCCCCGGGACGATAATTTGCGGCCCGTCTTGATATTAAAGATTAATGTTAGTGCGGCCCGCAATATTGATATGAATAAAACTTGTTGTATGCCGAGATGAACGAACAAGGGTGGGTACATCGGCCATGCTGTCCAGTGCCTCGCTCACTCACTCATTCCTCCAGTCAGCTCCGCTTGTTCCTCTCAGAAATTCCGACATACTTATTACAGGAACATCGCAAATGAAACTGAAGCTTAACATTTTCTTTGTTTATTACTGGTTGATTTAATTTTTTATTAATTTTTGTGTTAAAAATAAAGATATTTGAGAACATTGGAATGTTTTATCAGTGCTTTTCTTGGGGAAATCCAGATGAGGACCAGCTTCACCCAGACTCTGCCTCCAGCGGCCCCCGGGTAATGAGACCCCTGGTTTACGTGTATGTTTAACTTATGTTGCACAAATTTCGGGAAATGAATTGGCATTCAGTTACCCGAGTTATAATTCAAGTGACATCCATACTAGATCTATAATATGATTCTGATGTATTGTTTCTGTTTGTTTCATCTTAAATTATGTTTAATAGTCTGGGGTCATATTCCATGTGACTGCAGACTTGGAGTACACACATCTTGGTGTAAAATGGGATGATAATTGACAATATTAATGTAAGAGAATGACATACACGCGCTTGTACATCATATATGGGAATCCCATTCCAACTCTATTAGTATTATTATCGTTATTACACTTATGAATGTCATTAGTGCTATTGTCACTGTCATTGCCTTAATCATTATTATTTGAGGCACGTACATGCACTGAAGTATTTAGACTGGCAGTTTATGCACATCTATTACTTACATGACTATCCGAGGGGGGAGGGAGTTTAAGAAGGAAGGTAAGAGGAGAAAGTGAGAGGAAGAGGGGTGAAGAAAGAGGGAAAGGGGACTTAAAAGAAAAGGGTGATGGGGAAGGGAAAACCGAATGGACTTGAAAGGAAAAGGGGATGGGAAGGGAGAAGGGGCTCAGAGAAAAAGGGGGATGGGAGAGCGAGGGAATGGAAAAAAGGAGGGAAGTAGGTGGGGGAGTTTAAGGGGGGAAGAGGGGACAGTAGGAGGTGCCAGATGTAGGACATAAAGTGGGAGGGGAGGAATAAATTTGAGTATTTGAGCATTTACTTGTCTTATTGACTTAACTATATCAACAAATCAAGATACACAGCCTTTTCTTTGATATTTTGAGCCCCCAAGGTTGTCATTGAGGTTCAGAATTAATTTTGAAGATATTCATCCCATGAATATTATATCCGTGCAACGGGTTTTCGCCCCCCCCCTTACTTTTCTAACCTCTAACCTTCTCCCCCCCCCTACTTTTCTAACCTCTAACCGTCTCCCCCCCCCTTACTTTTCTAACCTCTAACCTTCTCCCACCTCGATTTCTTCACCTAGTAGTAGTCGATTTGCGAGGTTCTAGCTTCGCCCGGGCCTTCGGCTATGACCCGGCCTTTGTTTACTCCATTGTTTGTCTTGTATTATTTGCGAGGCCCGCTCTCCCAAACTCGCACTCGATGGCCCAACCAGCAGTCATGTCACACTACTTTACCTTACAATGGTTGAAGGACTAACGACCTCTGACTCAACTAAACATAATGGGTTCAGATAATATCACATAAAGATTAACACTTCTAAATTTGATAATGTGCTGTACAAACTACATAAATAAACATAACTCTTGATGGCAATGCTACCATTCTTAAGATTTCCCTTTGATTATGGGTGAAAAAAAACTTTCAAGGAGGACCTCTACATTTTTTTTTCTTTAGCAAAAGCTATTCTATACTATCAGAAATGTGGAACCTTGATGACGTCATAGTAGCCAAATGGCTGATGCTGCTATTACGTACAAAGAGCAGTAGTTAATGGTTAATAGTTACAAAGCAGAATAAATGTGCTAGACATCATAGGTCATCACTATAGGAGTAATAGTGAAAAAAGGTAAAGAGGTGTTAGTTGTTGATTAAATGTGTGTACGTCAGAAGTCATATAGCGGTTCAGGAATTAACAAGAGTGATTGGAGCAAAGTTGTCAAAGGAAAAAGTGTGGAATTTTGCAAGGATGTGCTTAGGGTAAGGCAGGGATATGCAAAAGAGAAAGGGGCTTAAGTGCGATTAGACTACAGTCTCAGGAAACTGTCAGGAGGGAGAGAATTCAGGGAATGGGGCTATTGTGACAGCAGGAAGCAGAAGGGATAGTGGGGAAGTATGATGCAACTGAAGCAGGGAGGAATGGGATGTGTTGGGAGGGAGTGGGAGAAATGGGTGTTGGTGGAGCAGGAGGCGAAATATGGATGTTGGCAATTTCTTTGAGAGAGGGAGAGATCAGAGAGGAGTGCCATTTAACAGCCTGAAAGTGTTTAAATTATCATGAAATATCAGAGCTAGTGGCTGGCACGTGGCACTTGAACACCATCCCTTGTGTCTCTCTTATTATTACTGAGATTTTAAAACCCTTTCAAAGAAAATGTTGTTTTGGTTTTCTGGTCCTTGGTGCTGTGGACAAGAATGAAAGAAGATATCATCTTTGGGAGTCCATGGAACTGATTAAGGAAAGAAAAGAAAATATCCAAGAAGAAGAAGTGTAAAGAGTGACAAGTCGGACTGCATGCACTTGGACATTTATTGGATGAATGTTTTTTTTTTTGTAGAAGTGTAATGATTTATGATTCAATATATCAGCTAATATTGTATGCTCATTAAGTGTTTTGATATTACCCTTCTTTCAGTTACCTCTGAGGCTGAAGTTAGATTATAAGTAACCTATGAGACTATTATTCTTATATATTGTGGGTTTCTAAAGGTATAACAGAAAATCTTCTGAAAAAAAACACACTTGATAAAAGATAGTTCTCCCTCTGGACAAAGTCCGAGAGGTTCCCAGAGTTAAGGGAAGAAATAGGGTCTCTGCTAAGGAAAAGAAAAGGGATGGGTGCTATAGTGGGGGGATTACAAAAAATCAATCCCATTTGGCTGGGCTAAACAAAATATACAAAATGTTTGTAGAGGTGGGTATAGTTGAAGAATGGGGACGTGTGGAAGGAGTAGTGCTGAGTGAAGGTTGCAGAGCAGTAATAAGGGTGGATGGTATAGCTGACAAAGAAAGTTGTGGGAGTCGAAGAGATAAAGTTGAGGATAATGGGAGACGAGGAATGTTTCCTAGAGATTGATATTGACCTGGATGGATGATTTGGACTCAAGTGATGTGATAGTAGGCAATGAGGAGGGGGCAGTATTAACAGTGATCAGAATCACATTCAAAGGAGAGCCTAGAATCTGGGATCCAGGAGAAATGAAATCAGTGGGGCCATTTGATAAAGGGGTAAGCCTCAATGCCCCTATTAATGGCATAAAGTTGTCATTACTGGCCAAGGTAAACTTAGGTTATGTAGGGGAGAGAAATAGTCCACCCCTCAGGGTCCCCTTGAGAGGAAAGGGCTAGACAACTATTCAGGGGAATAATGTGTCCATAGCTCCCCCAGACTGTTCATGACTGGCACAGTCAGCCTTTCAGCCTTTCAACATGACTCTTACACCTTAGGAAATGGATAGTAGAAGGGGTTGGAGAAGAGAAGGAAACAAAAAGGGGAAGGGGAAAAGATCATGTAAAATTAGTTGAGTCATAGGTTGAGGCCCAAGGCAGAAGTGATCCCCAGCACTGATTCCCTGTCTCTACCTCCTAAGCTCCCCCACAGCAATAAGGACATGGGATTAGTTGTACCTCAGTGGAAGAGGACTGGGGATAAATTAGGAGTTACAATTTTGTATTTACTTTGATAAATACTGGTATTAATTGGTTAATTATGATGGCATATCACTTCTATAAGATTTATTCTTTGCTGGTTTATATCCAGAGTATCTATGGATCTGTGTTATCTCATTAAAAAATATATTCATCATGAATAACTGTGTATGATAAATAACACCATGAATAATTACATTTATTGCTACCATGAACAATTATACTTATATTTATCATAAATGATCATATCTATTTTTTAGACATAACTATATTTATATCTATCATATATAATGATATTTATATATTTCATACAAAGTATGAAAACTAAAAATTCTAGACAGAAGTATTTTACAAACAAGGACTGGAACATATCTCAAATATATATACTGTTGCAAATCCAAGATGTTACAAAGGGGGTGGGTCTTAACATACTTAGAGGCATTTTCTAAGCATTCTGGAGAAAAATTTGGCCCTTTTATGTAGACTAATATAAACATAAAATCAACAGTAATTAGGATTTAGGGTTTCCACAAGGTGAATATGGTATAAACATTTAGTATATATACATGGATATTGTAATTTGAAAGCAATTTTAGCACAATTACATTTGCATCGTTGCATAATTCATTCACATATTGTTTAATACACCTGTTGCGGTAGTGCAGTTTATTACATTATAGGCTGAAAGTTTGGATCTGCCACAAAAAATATATACAAAATTCAATCATAGGTACTTCTGATCCTTTGGAAAGAACTATACACCATGTGATATTTCCATAAAGCAATGAAATTGCTGTTACATTCTAAATGCTCCAAGCTGGTGATTTATATCTGCTATTACATTTTGGTTAAATATGTCACATAAAGCTTCATCCAGTTTTTCCTCCAGAAGTTTTTCTGTTACCTCTAGCTCAATCAGATCCATGAGACCATCGGTAAAATGATCCAAGTCAGCTCTCACCAGTTGAACATCCCTGTAAATGTTGAATAGAAGTTAATATTGATTTTATTAGTCAGTGGTTTAAAGATATAAACAAAAATGTTGTAAATTAATGAGATGAAATTAAGAAAGCTCAATAATACATTCTTTATATCTCCATTCACATTCTTAGAAGTAAAATTTGAAGAATGAGAAAAAATTGCAATACCTGGTTAAGGTATCCTTCTCCTCTGAAAGCTGAGTTATATATGTATTATTCATGCTTTCAACACGTTCCTTCAGATTCTTCCTTGTTTTGTGTAACACATTCTTGATTGGCAGGATGTGACCATATTCTTGTAAGGCTTGACACAGGTCAGTGATATACCAAGATCCTATTGAAAAATAAGAGTCATCATAATTTTTTGTACCTTCAAATCTGTGGCAATACAGAAAAGGTGGGTGATTTTTTTTAAACATAATCTTAAAAATAAAGTATTCGATTCAGAATTTCTTCCCTAGCCAACACAAGGTTTGAGTTTTGCAACAAAAAGTAATACAGCACACATGGAGCAAGGAAAATGTCAGATTTGACTGTTATTTACTGCATCACAAAAAAAAATTCTTTTATAAGTATGGTATCCCACTGACAAGAAATGTGAGGCCATAATCAAGAAGCATCCTCAACCTTAATGGTGGAGAGAAAGAGGGGCTCCTGCAATAGGAGGTAATGCTCTGGGTGACAGCATCAGCAAGTAAGAGATGGGGAGCTGTTGGATGGCACTGTAACTAGTTGGCCTGAAGAGGACAGCACAGAAGAGCTGTGCCAGTCTGAGAAGAAACTTTTAAAAAGTTACACAGGCATGTAATAGATCCCTTATGGGGACATCCAACTAGCCAGAGAGGAAAGCGGCATTACAGAACTGTCAAAGACCCAGCTACCTTATACAGGTACCCTCAACTAACCAGCTAGTAGAAGCCCTGTTACAAAAGGTTGTGTCAGTCTTTGTCTAAGACTTGCTTTGCAAATACAGTCCCCTCCATTACTAAACTCACCACCCAGAATTGTCAATGTGTCACCTGCATCAACTCATATATCCAAAACACATGCCAAGAAGAGGATTATTATGTTTTGGATACAACTGATGATGTTGAAAGTGGAACAGGCAACAAAGTAAGAAAGATGCACAAAATGTTACATAAGGCAAATGGGATACCTGTGCATGAAACACTGAACTAGGATAGAAACTGAAAGAAATTATTGAAATGATATTAACTGATATTTCCTTTACCAAAACTATACTGATCAAAACAAGGTGTTCACATACACTAGTAAAACTGAATGCTCAACATACCCTCCATCTGATTCCTAAATGCAGAGTATCCTCTAACTGTTGCTTGTGAAATGAGGCAGTCACTCTCCTGGTGAGCAACAACTGAGCCATCGTGTTGTAGAAATATTGCTGTTAAAAATAAGTAAAAAGTCAGAGATAAAACAGATGCATAAAACTTATTTTCTTGAATGAGTGAACAGAATAACCAAAAGTAAAGGAAAAAGAAAAAAAGTGAAATGGAAGAAGAGACAGTACAAGACACAGGGTAGACAAAGTATATGCTAGGAATATTTTTCTCTAAAACAAACTATTACTTACGTCTCAGGGCCTCTTCTCCTCTACATGCCTGAACGAAGTAAAGTCTAGGTTTGTTAAGTAGAACCCGACTAGAACAAAGTTTTCTAAGATCGGTAACTGAGAAACAAGAACGATC